TGGGTGTCCACGGCTGACCTTCGGGTCCGTGCCGGGGCCAAGAAACTCGCTCCTCGGTTCCTCGGCCCATACCCCATCCAAAGGGTCATCAACCCGGTCACGTACCGGTTGCGACTGCCGGCTACTCTCCGCATCCATCCCACCTTCCATACCTCCCGGCTCAAGCCCTTCGTGGAGTCCTCCCTTCTCCCGCCTCCGGCTCCGGCGCCGCCTCCTGCCCGCTTCCTCGACGGTGAGCCTATCTACACTGTCCGGCGCATCCTGGACGCTCGCCGCAGGGGTCGGGGCTGGCAGTACCTAGTGGACTGGAAGGACTATGGCCCCGAGGAACGCTCCTGGGAGTCGGCTCGGTCCATCCTGGACCCTTCCCTGATCTCCGACTTCTGGGTCCGCCGGGGTCGCGCTGGGACTTCTGGAGCCGTCCCTGGACCGGGGGGTCCTGTCAGGACTCAGGTATCTCCCGGCTGACGTTCGGACCACAACTCCCGACATGCTCCTCATGGGGAGCTCCCAGCGTGCTCCTCGCGGGGATTCCCTCCACGTCACAGCCAAGCAAGGCTATATATGGAAGACGCCGGTACCGGCTTCTCATCTCAGTCATCGTTTCTTCCTCACAGAGATACGACCGGAGAAATAATAAAACTGTTAAACGTCTCACCTTGTTCGTCTCCTTCATCCAGTCTGATCAGCCCGACAAAATGTCCTTAAAAAGTTATACACACGCACACCAGATATGTGTTTGTTTTATGTACAGTATGAATACAAGTTTTATAAACTAAATTTAAATTATAGGGTCAATAAACGGGTTAAAGTTGTAGATTATAGGTGAACATCAGGTAAAAAGAATTGATCAGATTTTATTGGCATCATTTCCACAGAGTATTATCTTCCTTTCCTGGCCAAGAATCTAAAATAAAATCACATAAAGCGTTTAATTTCTTTTAAGCATCTCAGTGTGGATTCAGCACGGGTCACAGCACAAACAATTACATCAATATTTTCTATCAGCTGTTTTATCTGTATCTGATGTTAAAACAGTGGATTATCTTATTCTAACAGCCATTTTTCATATTTTATTAACGTTTTGGCTCAGTGGAAGAAAACATGCTTCACATCTATTTTTTTTAATCTATACAGTAAAGACACAATTCATGATGGCAAAATGTTAGTTTAGACAAAACAAATACATGTTTTGCTCATATTTGAACCCTTCCAGACAAACAACCAAATCAGATTTATGTCTGTCATGAAATAATTTTCTAAATCTGAATGCTGACAGATCTGATCTTTTCATAAATTCAACCCCAGGAGCAGATGTGATCAGAGCTTTATTCTTTCTCTAACCATAACCCTGTCATAAAAATTACGATATAGAAATCTTAACTTCACGTCTATTCAAGTTTGGTATGCCTCACAACATCAGACATTCATCAAAATTGATGTCTTGTATTTCTTGTCCAGACTAATATGAATCACTGAATTTATGCTGTATTACTAGAATGATCCTGGATTTGACTGTAATCAGACCTTCTGCCATACTTGTTAGAAAAATAAAGAATAAATTAGAAGTGTTCCCTGCTACATCAGTGGCATTCTGTCTCTTTTGAGCCTGAATAAATGGTGACATTTCTTGCTAATCTCTTTTCAGATGTGTAAAGTAATTGTTTCATTATTTAGCTAAATCAGCAGTCATCTGTCAAATTTGAATCACTTTTCCCTTTATCTTTGTCGCTGCTTCATTCAGATATGTGAAAGTGATGGACAAAACTAAAGAAATGCCACATTTCTGTAACGTTTTCCGCTTTGGACAATCTCACTTGAGCAACATGTGGCTTTAGGGGTCTTGAAAACCTGGTTTAGCATTTTTAAATTAAACAATTTTGTGAATCAATAATTTTTTGTTCCAGACCAAAAAATTAATACACTGAGGTGTGACGAGCTGAAAGTAATCAACGCATATTCATCTTTTTTTAATTCTGCTGTTTAATTAAATTTCTTGTTTTGATTTATGCGGTTGTGACGGGAATCAGCCTCGCTGCACAGTGTGAAATAGCTCCACTGGTTTTGCTACAGAAGTTTCAGAACTGTTGAATAAATATGAAGCTAAACTACTTTTTTCCTTCACATATTTAATTTGTGACACTCCTTAGGTATGCCACACAAGAAAAGGACACAAATCCAAGTCAATAACCTGTCAGAGGGTAAGAGAACACAGCCATGGGCAATAATTATTATAGCCATGCAAAAGCACTGGGACGAGTGTAAAATTTCTCCTAAATGTAATAAAGTGCTGTGCTTGGCTGATGGCATAGTTTTATTTTTAAATGATGGCCTTGGTGCTCCCAAACACATGAAAAATGGTGAGATCAGACACCTGCAAACACAGACCACCCACCTGATCCCCAAAACACTGCAGCAACACACAGGCACAGGCTGTAGAACCGATTAAAACAGAGAACAGAACAACAGTAGGAATTCTTTGACAGGTGCAGGTGAATTATATATAGTCAACCTTGGGTCCCAGATGACATGTTAACCATGATCCAAAAGCCTTTTTGACAGCTACACATTACGATGAATCATCATGCAGCCTTGAGCAGTAAAATAAGATCTAGTTTTATGACTTTGCAACCATTACGGTCGTCACTTCAAAGAGCTGTAGACAAGGTGACACATCAGGACACTCCGTGCATGCTCCCCCCTCCCATTAACCCAAATAACCAGACCAGGGGGCATCAGTAACAGCTGGAATCCACCTGGAAAAGCTGGAACGCTTCAGTTCTCGCTCCAAAAGAGATTCATGAAACATTTGTGAGGCATTTCTTTTCTAGGTTAAAAAATACAGAAACAAACACGTAATGATTCAAACACGGAACCCACTGGCACTGACAGAGGAGTGTGTGTGTGTGTGTGTGTGTGTGTGGTTAGCTGGATTATGGGTTAGGGTTTCATCATGGTGTAAACTTAATATTTGGGCAACCCACCCCTCCTGGTTATTTTGTCATTGCTGGAAAATATTCATAAACCAAAAACACTGCTAGGCTGAGGAGGTCACATGTGGATAAACCACTGACCTACAGCAGGATGCCAACACACCGACACACTCAAAATAAGTAGGTGGGGCTTCTGCAATAAAGGCCAAACCAAACAGGCTGATGTTGCAGAACACCGGCCTAAACTCACCTACATCCAAACAAACAAACAAACAAACAAACACACACACACACACACACACACACACACACACACACACACACACACACACACACAGGGGCAGCAGTAGCTCAACAGGTTGAGCAGGTTGTCCAGTAACCAGAAGGTTGGAGGTTCGATCCCGCCTCCGGACAGAGAATTCTAAATTCCTTGGGCAAGTCACAACCCACTTTGCCTGCTGGTGGTGGTCGGTGGGACCGGTGCCTGTGCTCGACTCACTCAGTGCGCACCAGGACAGCTGTGGCTACATCATAGCACATCCCCACCAGCGTGTGAATAGATGAATGATACACTGTAGTGTAAAGCACTTTGGAGTCCTTACTCTGAGAGGCGCTATAAAAGTACGGGTCATTTATCATTTGTTACACACACACACACACACACACACACACACACACACACACACACACACGCCGGCAGAAGACCATTTGCTTCATTTCCTTCTGACTGGACAAGGGTCACAGGAGAGAAGAATCAGTACCACAATATCATTTCCTGGACCGTCTCCCGTTTGTTGCTGATGTATAATTTCAGCACGGTTACTTCCTTCCATTTCCTGACCCGAGTCATTTCACCTCACCCAGATCCACCAAAAGGCATCCTCTCCTCTTTCATTTCCCACTTCCCATGGGCTCTTGTATCTCCCTCTAATCTTCCCTCATTTCACTGCTTTTTATTTCAATTCCTTCCCAGTCGACTCCCAGCACACTGTCACAGACCCGAACACCCACCCAGAACCAGAGAGAAGAAGAAATCAGCTTATAAAATCTGTTCTTTTTCACAATGTTCACTTCTTATCACAAACCTTGTTGGAGCTGGATTTGTATCATGTAAGGGAACAAATGCCACAGAAGACCTGTATTAGAAAGATGATTGACAGGTAGAGATAGACCTGATATTAAGGGAGGTGGTGGTGGTGCTTTAAGCACATATAACATGTTTATCTAAGTAACAGTGTTTACATTCATCAGAGTAAAATGCCTTCACATGTATAGTATACAAACATAAATGCATGCATTTATTTATTTATTTTTTACAACATATTAAATTGTTTTTTAATAACTCTAATAACAAGTGACTGAGGGATGCTCCTTTATCAGACAACAAATATTTTCTTTATATGCTTACCGTCTCCAGAATCAATTAAAAATCTCACACGGCTCCTTTAAGATCACATTTAGGTTTCTAATGCAAGAGACTCCAAAGTAAAGCCCTGAATCAAAGCACGAGTTAAAAGGTAGGAAAAGTGAGAGAGGAGGCAGACAGGGTGTGTGTCTCAGAGAGGCTCGTCTCCACCTCTGGGCCATCTCACACAAGGCTGAAATCTCAAACCTGTTTCTTTTCTTCAAAGTCTTGAGCTGATTTAAAAAAAAAGGTTAGCCAATGCCAGGAGGTCACAGCTATGCGTTAAAAATAGGTTTAAACGACACAGCACAACCAAACTTAATCACCATTTCACTGTAAACCAGAAGTGTCTGTAGAAAATGAAATGAGATTAGATTTTAAGTGTGTGCAGCTGAGAGAGAGTTGTAGCGGTGGAGTGCAGCAGCTGCTTCAGATGAAAACACGTCACAGGGTGAGATGTTGATAAGCGCCACATTTGTTGTCAGCATGCAGCGCCAGAAGCTTTCATGCACTAACACGTGGTAAAGGACAGCGGGCGTTAGGCAGAAAATGTTTGCACTTTATTGGCAGACGGACAGGAAGCAGCGTGGGAGCAGTCTCCCCAGGTGTGTGTGTGTGTGTGATTGTGTGTGTTGTCGTGAAGGTGTGAAAGTTGGACTCACAGTCAGCCTGGGCACAGACGAGGCAGGAGGTGGTGCTGTTAAAGAAGGTGAGAAGGCCGGCCACGGCCAAGCTGATGTCGGTGTTGGTTGGTCTCAGGTCCAGAGTGGTGAAGCGTGGGAGCTGGACCTTCAGAATATCTTCTGGAGCCACTTTGACATAAGGTACCTGCAGAGTGATGCTGCTGTTAGTCTGTAGCTTTGATCTGCTCCTGAGTTCTGGATCTTTGAACTTCAGGCATGTTTACAATAATCTGTTGACAGAAAAACTCTAAAAAATACATGTGAATAAACTCAGGATGATCGTCGGTAAGAAGCCAGCAGGCAGTCAGAAGAATAAATAGCTCTGAAGAAGAGTTACAGCAAACAGGATCAAGTGTGAATAATGAACACCCAGGGCTCTGTGGTGATGTGCAGATTCACAATAAACAGAGTTTTCAATACCTGAGCCTGAAACCCCACATAAAGTCCAAACCGTTTGGTTTTTGTCACACAAAAATGTTTTTTTTAAATAAACAAAAACAACTAAATACAGAAATATTTGGTCACTTGAAATCTAAACATAATAATACAAAAACTGAATCATAGGAAACTTTAATTAAAAGGTAAAGTGTATAAATAAATGAACTGAATCTGTCATAAAGTGATAACGAAGATCAGAAAGAGTCATACACAAGTCAGACAAGCTTAATCAAACACGAGTGAATCAATAACTCTTCTATTCAAACCCACTGGGACACACAATCTTCTTTCTGTAATATTGATTTCTGAACAGTTTATTTGTTGTAGCTGTTTTTTCTGAGCTGCCCCTAATGACTTTATCACACACCCCTGCTGTACTAACAGGATGTTTAACATCTCTGCTGGGAAATCGGAGGCTAAGTACACTACAGTTAACCTCACAGCCTTCAGCGTTCCCCGAGCGCGGCAGCAACGCTGCAGAAGAGCTTCCTGCAAACTTGCAGAACTTAAGGATGCTTACACATTACATTCCACCTAAATGCAAACACGCCTCCTATTTAGGTCCCTCTATAAAATCCATCTCTGCCTCAGGTCTCATCATGATGAGAGAGGAGATATGCTGACAGCTTTTAGCAAGAGAGCAAATGGAGGAAGAGGAGGAAGAGGAGGAGGCAACAGGGTAAGTAGTGAGGTGTCAGTCAGAGAGTGCAGCAGAGCTCAGCAGGGCTTGAAGGAGATGTAGGAGGGCATGCTGGGTCTGAGAGTAGAAACAGGAAGTCGATCTCTTCTTCATGTCAGAGTGAGCCTGTGTGGTTTCCTGCTCTTATCCATTTCTTTAGCCCTCGCTCCTACAGGCCCTCAACTGGTTTTGAGGTCCACCACTAAAACGGTGTCCTGGAGGAGCAGCAGCTCAGAGGAGTCACACCATCTGGATGATAACTACAAACCTCACAAGAGACAGATTAGATTTGTTCTCATCTTCTCAGATTATTTCATTACTTCTTTTTCCTCCTTCAGTCTCTCACATGGCTTATTCTTCTTTCTCTTTTCTTTATTTTAGTTCATTCATTCATTTTCCTCACCCAACCCTAACCCTTACTGCAGACTGATGCTGTTAGCATGAAGCTATTATTAAAAAATGTTCATAATAAAATATAAATCAGGTTTCCAGCTTGTGAAGTAGTTACGCACATGTTCAACCTGAGCCTTCATCTGGAGCAGGTCCCCATCCCGTGGAAGACAGTCTGTGTGGTTCCAGATCCCAAAACATCACATCTCAGGGAACCAGACCTCTCACCTTGACCTCCCATCTGATGAAGACTGTGGAGAGACTCATCCTCACCCATCTACTTTCTGTGGTGAACCCGGAAATAGACCCACTGCAATTTGCACAAAAACCATACATGGGGGCGTAGGGCACGCTCATCTACCTGCAGCACCAGGCTCTGACTCACCTCGAGAGGCAAAAATGCACTGTGAGAATCATGTTCTTCAACTTCTCAAGTGCCTTCAACACCATCCAGCTGTGCCTACTGTAGCAGAAGATGAGGGGTGCAGGAGTGGACAAACATCTGACTGCATGGACCATCAAGTCCCTCACCAACAGGCCACTGTATGTGAGGCTGCACAACAGTACATCTGAGGTGGTTGTGTGCAGTACTGGAGCTCCACAGGGTTTGGTGTTCTCACTCTTTCTCTTAACCTTCTATACCTCAGACTTCACCTACAACACCAGCAGCCGTCACCTCCAGAAGTACTCTGATGACTTGGCCCTTGTTGGCTGTGTGTTTGAGGTGAATGACCTGGAGTACAGGTCAGTCATCATGGACTTTGTGGACTGGTGTGAGCGTAACCACCTTCTCTTGAACACCAATGAAACAAAGGAAATGGAGATTGACTTCCAGAGAAACACTCCTCCTCACTCGCCTGTAAACATCCAGGGAGAAGACATTGAGGTGGTGGATACCTTTAAAGCTGCTTTCCGGAGTTTTCTCCTTTCAGAAATGATGTATGATTTGTCAGAAATCCGTAAAAGTGATTATCTCATCATGTACTGTGATGTAAGGTAAGCAATACGTCTTTTTTATTTTTTTTGCTAAGCACGCCCCCTGCCCTGCAGAGCTCTGTGCAATGGCAAACTGAGCGCCAACCAGAACTAACCAATGGCGTTAGACTACCGCTTACTTGCTTCATATTTAAGGAAGTACCTCGGCTGATGCAGAGTTGATGAACTTTTCATGGACAAGTCTCTAAAATATAAATATATACGAGAACACAACATGACATGGGAATAATACTCGTAAAGCAATGTGTTTTAGCTCCGTTTGTCGGCTACAGAGGCACATTTATAAACAGAAACGTGAAGTCGCCATCTTAATAAACAGAGCAAGAATAATACTCGTAAAGCAATGTGTTTTAGCTCCGTTTGTCGGCTACAGAAGCACATTTATAAACAGAAACGTGAAGTCGCCATCTTAATAAACAGAGCGACAGATATTTTTGTGTGATATGCTTGTCAGCCACTAGATGGTGCCATCGGATAAGAGAAATACTCTGGAAAGAAGCTTTAAGTACCTGGGTGTTCACCTCAACCGTAAACTGAACTGGTCCAACAACACAGATGCTCTGTTTAAGAAGGTCCAAAGCCGCCCCCACCTCCTGAGGAGACTGAGCTCCCTTGGAGTTAATTCCTAGCTGCTAAAACATTTTATCACTCTATGGTTGGCTCTGTTATCTGCTCTGCTTTGGTCTGTTGGGGTGCAGGCAGCTCTGACCGAGACAAGAAGAGACTGAACAAGCTAGTTCACACAGCTAGCTTGGTTCTGAGCTGCCCACTGGATTCAGTCGAGGACATGCATGAAAGGAGGATGCTGGTGAAGATGACCACCATCTTAAAAAAAAAAAACTCCATCCACTGCATTCCACTTTGGAGAACATCCCAGATGTAAAACAGAAAACTACCATAGCTATTTCAGCCCCTCTACAGTAAGAGTGTGTAACTCATCAGTTTAAGCTGTACTGGCATCATCCTGGTACACAGTAACACCAATGTAATATTCAGTACGTGTTCAATACTCGTTCAATACCGAATTTACATAGTATGTCTGTGTCTACTGCAGTATGCTGCATAGTGTTGGAACCCAAGTTTTTTTTTCTCTTTTATTCATTTTTTTAATGGTCGAAGGTTACAATTCTAGAATACTGTCCATGTGTATATATACATTTATCTTAGTTTTTATTCACATTATTCTCTTAAGTGTTGGTGCTGCTGTTAACAAGTGAATTTCCCCACTGTGGGATCAATGAATTCTATTCTATTCTATTCTATTCTATTCTATTCTATTCTATTCTATTCTATTCTATTCTATTCTATTCTGACAGCATTTTGAACGTAGAAGCATACACAGTGACTTTAATTAAAACTAGATTAATCTGGTGTTCTGAGGACTGGATGTAGCTTACACTCAGACCAGACAGGACTTTATCTGGACACCCTTGTCAAACATGGTTTCCTTGGTAACAGCAACATGATTTACAGCCTGTTTTACAGACATTGTCCATTTCTCAATATACATAATTGTCAATACTTGTGTACTCATGTCCTTGTGAAACGTCATTAATGATGGCCCAAGGACTGTTCCAATCCCAAATATGCATCATGGCAATTTTGCTTAAAGTTCCCGGATGTGTACTTGCTCCGCCCACTGTATCAAGGATGTATCAATGCATCCTTTTGCAGACTTGGGACAACAGTTTCCCAAAATGCATTGCATCACAATAGTTAGACTCCAAAGGTTGGAGGTGAAATCTGATAACTATAGTTGTCTGCTATTGTAAATAATTGTGTGTAACCTGTAAAATTAGCTGTGTGTACTTGGGTTTTACTTTTCACGATCCCTCAAAATGCTAATTAGCTAACCCACTATCAAAATAAAAGCACAGTAGCTCTGTTTTGATGAAAAATACATTTTTTGATGAAAAAACATTTTTTTTATTAATTTAACAACAGCTGGTATTTGTCAGTTTAGTTCAAAAGTGGACCAAATGTAATACAAATAAAACATTTGTTGGGGTTATTAGGAGCGAACAATTAGTAAGCTTCAACTTACTTTTGGATTCTTCAATAAATTCTGTAAATATGGGAATATTTACTGATTTATTAATTAATTAAGATATTCTTAGATATACGGGGCACCATTCCCCTTTTACCGGGGAAAAATTGAATCCAAAACTCTTATCAGTCTTTCTTGAAGTTCGTAGAATCCTTGGAGCAGAGACTTCTCTTCGACACAACAAAGCTACTGGAGACGAAAATCTGAATTTTATAACGTTTAATTAACAATTTGTCAAATGAATAAACAGTGACATAAATGAATAATAACCATGTGATATAATAAAAGGATGTATATTCAAAATAATGTTCAAGGTGTTTGTGTGGTGTGTGTGAGTGAGTGTGTGTGTGTGTGTGTGTGTGAGAGAGATGAATGGGTCTTTGTTTCCCCGAGTAGGTGGGGGAAAGTGAGCTGTGAGTGTGTGTGGGGCTCTGCCCCTCCCCTCGCATTCAACAGGAGACCTGGATGTGTAAAGTTTTCTACTTTCCCGAACACTTAGTGGCTTAGAATCACAGTAAAACTTAACTCAAACACTTCAAAAGTTAACAAACAACAAAAGGGTCACTTGTAAATTATTTAATCTAAAAGGAGTCGG